GTGGCAGTTTCTTAGTCCCCTTGCTCAGGGATTCTCTCAGGCAGCTGGGTGAAGAGGATGATTCATCTGGGATCTGAGGTGGTACAGCAGGAGGGCTGGAGAAGAAACCTCTTTTGTCTATGGACATAGTACATAGTTGCTAAGAAGTTGTCCCCACAGTTCACAGTTTCCTTGGGCATCCCATACACCCCTCAACTCCATCCAAATTCAATACCCCTTAATAAAACTACAAAAACAAGCTCAAGGACTGTTTGTTTCCAGTGTGCAAATGTGGAGGAAAATGTGTGTTGCCTTGCTGTGCAGGACTATAGAGGGACCAAAAATTCAGCGACTCCTAAGGGGGTAGTACTACACTTCAATTATGCTTTTTTGAAGCTTATAGGAAGCTTGGCAAATGCCCTGTGTATGTTGATTTTCTATTTGTTTTAAATGGAGCCCAGTAGAACCCCAGTTCAGTAGTACCCCTGTCAGCAGATCCCCAGCTCATTGGTACCCCTATCCATCAGACCCTCAGCTCATTGGTACCCTCGTTCAGCAGATCCCCAGCTCATTGGTACCCTTGTTCAGCAGATCCCCAGCTCATTGGTACCCTCGTTCAGCAGATCCCCAGCTCATTGGTACCCTTGTTCAGCAGATCCCCAGCTCATTGGTACCCTTGTTCAGCAGATCCCCAGCTTATTAGTACCCTTGTTCAGCAGATCACCTGCTCAGTAGTACTCCCAGCTCTGCTAATGCCCTACTCAGCAGTAACCCCCAGCTCTGCTGATCCCCTGTTCAGCAGTAATCTCCAGCTCTGTTGACCACACCCTTTCTTGCCCAGGCCAATTTTTAGCTTTTGGTGCTGTTGCACTTTGACTATTGCGCAGTCATGTAACACTGTACCCAGATGACATTTTTAGCATTTGTTTTACACAAATAGGTGTATTTAATCACCACTGGGTTTATTTTTTTTTTTTTTTGCTAAACAAACAAAAAAATGCCGAAAATGTTGGAAAAGAAACAGTTTTTTCTTAGTTTCTGTTATAACATTACAATCAGTAATTTTTCTCCTTCATTGATGTGCACTGATGAGGCTGCACTGATAGGCGACAATGATGGGCACAGATAGGCAGCACTGATAGGTGATAAACACTGCACTGAAGAGGAGGCACTCATAGGTGGCACTGACAGGCATCACTGATAGGCAGATGGGCACTGAGAGGCATCACTGATGGGGTACACTGATGATCAGTGCCCTGAATATCAGTGTAGCTGTCTCCTTTGAAGATTGCCGCTTATCAGCTCTCCTCTTCTCACGCTCTGTCAACGTGAGGAGAGGACGGCCGATAACTGGCATTTCCTTTTTACATGTGATCAGCTGTGATTGGACACAGCTGATCACATGATAAAGAGCCTACGTCATTGGCTCTTTACCGCTGATCGCAGGGGCGCACATGCGCGGATAGAGTGGGAGGACGTCATACGATGTCCTCCCAGAACAAGAGAGCTCCCTCCGTTCATCATTTATCAATACGGTGGGTGGGAGGCAGTTAAAGTGTGACATGTTTGACATCACATGTCTTTCTTGAAGGAAAGTTTTCATGGTTTTTTTTTTTTGCCCTATGGCAAGATGCATTATTATCCTGAAAAATATCATCATCATCAAACATCCTTTCAATTGATGAAATAAGAGAAGTGTCCAAAATCTTAATATAAACTTGTGCATTTGTTGAAGCTTTGATGACTGTCATCTCCCCAGTACCTTTACCTGACATGCAGGGCTGTGGATAAGGGGGTACCACCAGTCCTCCTGTACGGGGACCACGTCAGCAGGGGGGCCCAGGCAGCTGGGTGAATCAGATTTGGGCAGGGAGGATGATTTATACGGCGGGGGGGAAATTACTGTAACCGATCTCCTGTATGATTTCCTCTGGACCAGCTGAAAGTTGGCTTCTTCTACTCTCCCTTCTGCTGGCTTTCAGCTGCTGCAGAGAAAGCCATACAAGGGATCAGTTCCAGTAATTGCCCCTGCCACCCATCACCCTCCCTGTGCCCCATACATTTCCACCTGCTGCCCAGGCCTCCCTGTGTGTCCCCACACCTGCAGTGCTGCCGGCTTCTCTCTTCTTCTTTCCAACGGTTGCTGCAAGCACACAATAGGATCCCTCAGGATAGAAAGTGGGGGGAAGGGGCTGGTAAAAATGTCACATTTACCAGTCCCTTCCTTTCCTGAATGAACACAATGAGCAATTAGTACCGATCACTCACGGTGTTCATTCATAACTGAAGCATAGTAAACTGTGTGTTTTATTGGGCGGGAGGGGGTCCTGTCAGGTTGGCTGTATGGGGCACCATGGTTTCTAACAGCAGCTCTGCTGACATGCAACCCCATATCATCAATGATTGTGGAAATTTGCATGTTTCCTTCAGGCAGTCGTCTTTATACATTTCATTAGAATGGCACCAAACAAAAGTTCCAGCATCATCACCCTACCCAATGCAGATTCGTGATTCATCACTGAATATCACTTTCATCCAGTCATCCACACTCCATGATTGTTTTTCTTTAGTCCACTTTAACCTTGTCTTTTTCTGTTTAGGTGTTAATGATGGTTTTCGTTTGGCTTTTCTGTATGTAAATCCCATTTCCTTTAGGTGATGTCTTACAGTTCGGTCACAGACACTGGTTCCAGTTTCTGTCCATTTGTTTTGTTGTGCATTTTCTGTTTTCAAGGCATATTGCTTTAAAGTGTTAATAAACCCACAACAGTAAAATCAGTCTGTATATGCAGTAAAGCGTGCTCGTTATACTCACTCTGGAACCTAAGGGATTAATCCTCTGCATTGTGTAAAAAGGCTGTTTATCCTGCCTTCTCCGCTCCTCCTCTTGTTCAAATGTCCACGTCTTATCTCCTGATAAGACAGACTGAACCTGTAGCCATTCTGCACATGCTCAGTTTAGTGTGTATTGCTAGAGGTTTTTTTTTTCTTGGGAGAGTGAATGTGATCAGCACAAAGGCAGAAAGAAAACTCCTCCTACAAGCTTTAATCAGTGCTCTGCTGGACACTGATAGAAGTCATAAAACTGTTCTAACTACTGATGAGAAAAGGTATTTAACAGTTTATATTTACTAAAATAATTGCATTTCCATGTTCTGTGTACTGTGGGAGACCAGATATAGTGGATATAGGGCCCTGGCTTTAGTAACACTTTAAGTTTTCTATCTTGACACTTTGATGTCTTCCTTGGTCTACCAGTACGCTTCCCTTTTACAACCTTCCCATTTAATTTGTACTTAATCCAGATTTTAGACACAGCTGACTGGGAACAACCAACAGCTTTTGCAACATTCCGTGATGATTTACCTTCTTGAAGAAATGTTATAATCCTCTTCTTTGTTTCAACTGACATCTCTGGTGTTGGAGCCATGATTCATGCATCAACTTGATGCAACAGCTCACCAAGGTGTGCAAGAACTCTTTTTTTCACTGCAGATGTAATCTGGTGGAGATGTTTGTTTCAGAACTGCAAAGTACATCGTGATTCCATAATATTTTCCTCAGAATTTAATGACTCCATATATTTTTTTTCCTCTGCTTGTTCTGCATAAACAGTTGCAACTGACTACAGTTTTCTTAAGTGTTTCCTAAAGCCAGAAGGTTGGAATGTTAAGTGAAAATAGTTTTGAGGCATGTCTGTGATTAATTTTTTTCTATACAATTAAACAATTGAATGGACATATTCCAAGAGTGGTAATTCCATACTTTGTGCCAGGGGTTTTATATGGTGTTTGTGTTCCCTAAAATTCATTAACCGCTTCCTGACCGCCCTATAGCAGAAATACTGCTACAGGGCAGTATATATCCGTGATTTTGCATTTCTGGGTAGGGGGCTCGCTCGAGGTAGGAGGTAAATGCTCAGGAGGGCAAGTGGTTAAAGTGTACCTTTAGAAAAAAAAATTAGCATTTGAAAAAACTGCTGTGCATTTGTGTAACATAAACTGCAACATCCATCTTTTTATGCTCTTTGGTATAAAAAAAAAAAAGTATAAATATGTATGTTTGGTTAACCACTTCACAACCGCACTATACCTGAATGACAGCTACAGTACAGTTGTTGAGTCCCGGGGAGGGCGTGATAGGACAACCTCCCAGAATGCACCCTTCCCTGCGCCCCCAGCGATGCACACCTGGTGCTGTCTATGATTGCTGTGTTCTATGAACACAGCTGATTATTATACAGGATTTATATAGCACCAACAGTTTGCACAGCGCTTTACAATATAAGGGAGACAGTACAATTACAGTACATTTCAGTACAGAAGGAATAGGAGGGCCCTGCTCGTGGAGCTTACAATCTAAAGAAAGGGGGAGGTGATAGCTGCAGGGGATGATCTGATGGAAGTGATTTAAGAACAGTTCTTAGGTGGAGGTGGGGTAGGCTTCTCTGAAGAAGTGAGTTTTCAAAGATCATCTAAAGGCAGACAGGGTGGGAGCTGACCGGAAATGCTGTGGTAGGGAGTTCCAGAGGATGGGAGAGGCTCTGGAGAAGTTCTGGAGGCGAGCGTGGGAGGAGGTGATGAGGGAGCTAGAGAGAAAGATATCTTGGGAGGAGCGGAGTTGGCGATATCTGCGGATGTGGTTGGTGATGTAGCTAGGGGCAGTGTTGTGGATGGCTTTGTAAGCCGTGGTTAGTATTTTGAATTTTATGCGTTGGGTTATTGGAAGCCAGTGGAGGGATTGGCAGAGAGGGGCAGCAGTCACTGATCGGTTGGTAAGGTGTATGAGTCTATCAGCAGCATTCATAATACACTGAAGGGGGGATAGCCTGAGTAATGGTAGACCAGTGAGGAGGGAGTTGCAGTAATCAAGGCGGGATATAACCAAGGCGTGGATAAGTTGTTTTGTGGTGTCATTGGTCAGGAAGGGGTGGATTTTGGAAATATTTCGGATCATATGATGAGGTAGAATTCCAATCACAACAGCCTTTTGCCATGTGATTAGCTGGGTCCAACAACACAGCAGATCACCAATAAATAGTTGCAGGTTATCAGCAGCACTTTCCTCATCCTGTCACAGATTGAGGAAAATACTGAAGATAACCAGCAATGTCAGTGCCACCCATTGTTGCTGCATATCAGTGCAGCAGCATCAATGCCCACCAGTGCCGCCTCATCAACACACATCAGTGAAGGAGAATAATTACCCATTTGCAAAATTTTATAATAGAAACAAACATTTTTTTCAAATGTTTTGCTTTTTTTTGTTTATAGCGCAAAAAATAAAACACCCAGTGGCAATTAAATACCACCAATAAAGCTCTTTGTGTGAAAAAAGATAAAATTTAATATGGGTACAATGTTGCATGACTGTGCAATTGTCATTCAAAGTGCGACAGCGCTGAAAGCTGGCCTGGGCAGGAAAGGGGTGAAAGTACCGAGTAGGCAAAAGGTGATTGTGGGGCCTGTAATCCCTTTCATTTCCTCGTACATTTATGTGTGAACGTGCAGCCTGCCAGCACTTTTCTCTCTTCCTTCCTCATCTCTTTCCAGGCCAGTTTCCCTGAGCAGCCCCTGCGAAGAAGTTCCCGCTTCCACACAGCCCCCCCGAGGCGTGACGCGCCGGCCGTGGGGCAGGCGGTAACCCGTTGTTGTATCCGGCCGCTGGCATTCTGTGAAATAGAAAGTAAAGACAGGGGGCGCTGTGCGGGCCAAGTACATGGCATGCGTGTGTGTGTGCACAGGAGAAGAAAAACAAGGAAATGGTGGAGGGAGAGCCTGCTAGTTTTCTCATGTAAGCGCCGGCAGCCCGCTCGGGGGGGGCGCGCGCATTGATGGGTTAAACAGCGGCCGGCCGTGGAGGATGGATTACGAGTTCAAGAGCAAGCTGTCTGCCGAGCGGGAGCGGGTGGAGGACCTCTTTGAGTATGAAGGCTGCAAAGTGGGTCGAGGAACCTACGGGCATGTTTACAAAGCCAAGAGGAAAGACGGGTGAGTGGCACGGGGGGGTCGTGTCCTGGGCGGTGTGTGTGAGGGGGCGCCGCTCCTTATCCTGCATCAGTCACACCTGCCGAGGGACGTGTCCTTTGTGTGGAAGGCAATGTATGGCAACTCCGAGGTGGCCACACACTGCTGCCGGGGACTCCTGTCAGCCTGGCAGGTTATTGATGGGGAGCCTGTGCTAGTTATGTGTTTGGAGCTCCCTCCGCCCCCTCCTCTTCCTCCTCCCCCTCCTCTGCACACGCCCGGGATGCTGAAGTTGTGTTGGGGGGAGGGGAGAGACTCGGCTACAAATGTTTATGTTGGGGTGGTCCCACCTCCTCCATCCCTCCTCCTCCTTCCCATGTGTGAATGTTATTCACCAGCCTCTTCCCTGAATTCTAGCAGTCCTACCCTCCTTCCTCTGGTGGAGCGATGCCTTTCTCTGCTTGTCACATTCAAATATATGGGGAATACTCACTCAAAGGGACTGCACATGCATTGGGATTACAGACCCCATAATAACCCATTCATGGGTCACCAAGCCACCTGGAATAGAAAAGGTACATTAAATAAAACAAGAAAAGATAAAACAGCTTGGAAAATATCAAAGAGTAACTCAGCTTTTGTTACGTAAAAACAACCCAATCCCCTCTGGCTGATCTATGTACATTGCCAGGATTTGAACTAACTTTGTTGCAGATTCCTACTTTTTGTTACGGGACAGAAGGCAGAACAACTACATTATAGATCAGCTATATATAAAAAATAAACACCAATAACGAATTTGGATCAAAATGGCCAACGGCCCATTATTATAGGCAGGACAGTATTTTAATAATTAAAATAAATGACATGACCAAGATCTAAATTATATTTGAAGTCTTACTAAACCCACCGCACTAAAATCAGTCTGTATATGCAGTAAAGCATGCTTGTTATACTCACTGTGGAACCTAACGGGTTAATCCTCTGCATTGTGTAAAAAGGCTGATCCTGTCATCTCTGATCCCCCCCCTTCTTCCAGTGTCCCCTCTCATATCCCCTGATAAGACATATGGTGTGTGAGTCACTCTGCACATGCTCCGTTTGGTATGTATTGCTAGAGGTTTTTTTTTTTTCCTTGGAAGCGTGCATGTCATCAGCACAGGGCCAGCACTACACAGCACTGTCCAGACAGAGGTCCTGCATCCAGAGAAAACTCATCCTACAAGCTTTAACTACTTGCCAACCGCAGATAGCTGAATGACGGCTGCACTGCAGCCGGCCAGTTCTGGGAGGGCATCATATGACGTCCTCTCAGAACGCACTTTCCTGCACGCCCCCAGGGGCGCGTGCCCGGCGATCTCCATGATCGCTGTGTCCTACGGACACAGCTGATCACATAATGTGTTAAAAGGCCAATCACAGTGGCCTTTTACCACGTGATCAGCCGTGTCCAATGACACACTGATCACCGGGAAATGCAATTGCCGGTTCTCTTCTGCACTTTTCTCATGTTGTCAGAGCGTGAGGAAAGTACTGCCGAGAACCGGCAGTTGTCAGAGCAGGGATCGGCACCGATCATCAGGGCACTGATGATCAGTGCCCTGATGATCGGGGACCAGCAGTGCCACCCACCAGTTCCGCCCACCTGTGCCCAGCAGTGCGCCCACCTGTGCCCAGCAGTGCCACCCACCCGTGCCCACCAGTGCCATCTACCAGTGCCCATCAGTGCAGCCCAGCAGTGCTGCCAGTCAGTGCCCAGCAGTTGCGCCAGTCAATGCCTAGCAGTGCCGCCAGTCAGTGCTCAGCAGTGATGCCAGTCAGTGCCACCTATCAGTGCCGCCTGTCCGTGACACCTCATTAGTGCTGCCTATCAGTGCCGCCTATCCGTTCCACCTCTTTAGTGCTGCCCTTCAGTGCCGCCTATCAGTGCCCTTCAGTGCTGCCTATCAATGCCCATCAGTGCTGCCTCATCAATGCACATCTGTGAAGGAGAAAAATTACCTGTTTGAAAAATTTTATAATAGAAACAAAGAAACTTTTTTTTTTTTGTGTAAATTCTTTTGCACTTTTTTTGCTTATAGCACTTAAAATAAAGTGCCCAGCAGCGATTAAATACCACTAAAAGAAAGCTCTATTTGTGAGAAAAAAATGATAAAAATTTCATATGGGTACAATGTTGCATGACCGCGCAATTGTCAATCAAAGTGCAACAGCGCTGAAAGCTGAAAATTGGCCTGGTAAAGAAGGGGGTATAAGTGCCCGGTAGGCTAGTGGTTAACCAGTGCTCTGCTGAACACTGATAAAATTCACAAGACTGCTCTAACTGCTGATGACAAAAGGTATTTAGCAGTGTGTATATATATATTACACACAGTATCTCACAGAAGTGAGTAAACCCCTCACATTTTTGTAAATATTTTATTCTATCTTTTCTTGTGACAACACTAAAGAAATGACACTTTGCTACAATGTGACGTAGTGAATGTACAGCTTGTATAACAGTGTAAATTTGCTGTCCCCTCAAAATAACTCAACACACAGCCATTAATGTCTAAACCGATGGCAACAAAAGTGAGTACACCCCTAAGTGAAAATGTCCAAATTGGACCCAATAAGCCATTTTCCCTCCCTAGTGTCATGTGACTCCTTAGTGTTACAAGGTCTCAGGTGTGAATGGGGAGCAGGTGTGTTAAATTTGGTGTTATCGCTGTCACTCTCTCATACTGGTCACTGGAAGTTCAGCATGGCACCTCATGGCAAAGAACTCTCTGAGGATCTGAAAAAAAGAATAGTTGCTCTACGTAAAGATAGCCTAGGCTATAAGAAGATTGCCAAGACCCTGAAACTGATCTGCAGCACGGTTGCCAAGACCATACATGGTTTAACAGGACAGGTTCCACTCAGAACAGGCCTCGCCATGGTTGACCAAAGGACTTGAGCGCACGTGCTCAGCATCATATCCAGAGGTTGTCTTTGGGAAATAGACGTATGAGTGCTGCCAGCATTGCTGCAGAGGTTGAAGGGGTGGGGGTCAGCCTGTCAGTGCTCATACCATACGCTGCACACTGCATCAAATTGGTCTGTATGGCTGTCGTCCAGAAGAAGGAAGCCTCTTGTTGATGCACAAGAAAGCCTGCAAACAGTTTTCTGAAGACAACAGACTAAGGACATGGATTACTGGAACCATGTCCTGTGTTCTGATGAGACCAAGATAAACTTATTTGGTTCAGATGGTGTCAAGCGTATATGGAGGCAACCAGGTGAGGAGTACAAAGACAAGTGTGTCTTGCCTACAGTCAAGCATGGTGGTGGGAGTGTCATGGTCTCGGGCTGTATGAGTGCTGCCGGCACTGGGGAGCTACAGTTCATTGAGGGAACCATGAATGCCAACATGTACTGTGACATACTGAAGCAGAGCATGATCCCCTCCCTTCAGAGACTGGGCCGCAGGGCAGTATTCCAACATAACGACCCCAAACACACATTTACATTGTAGCAAGTGTCATTTCTTCAAAAACTGTATTTAAATTGGAGGTGATAATAGGAATGCCTGGGGTTTTTAATAACAAAAGGGGCTTTATGGCAACTTAAAAGTTTAATCATTTTAACATTGCGCTGTTTATCTCCTCCCCTCACTGTCTCCAGCACCTCACCCATGGATTAGCAGGGAGGGGAGAGACCTTGCAGTGTAATGAGCACCAATTGGCTGCTCCTCAGAAAAGGGTGGGTCAGGGCTTATACTTTATCCCTTTTGCTGCCAGAGCCATTTTTGCATTATTTAAAAAATAATTTTAGGCCTGAAGATTACATAAAACCCCCTAACATTATATATTTTCTGAAAGCAGAGACCCTAGAGAATAAAATGGTGGTAGTTTATTTTTTATTATGTCGCAGTAAAAAAAATACAATTAGGTTAATTTTAAGGCACAAAAAAGCAATACATTAACCTATTTTTTTTAAGATATAAAAGACGAGGTTGCACTGAGTAAATTGATGTCTAACTTGTCAAGGCTTAAATTTGTGCGCGCTTGTGAAATGGCGACAAACTTCAGTACCCTATATTTTTTATAGGTCAACACTTTTAAAGCTCATTATAGGTCATCAGTTTAGCGTTACAAAGGAGGTCTGGTGCTAGAATTATTGCTCTCATTCTGGCGTGTGTAGTGTTATGGACGTGTATCGCAATCAAAGTTTTCATGTGTAGGCGCCCCAGCGTGTTCTTTTACATGTGACGTGTTGGGTGTATTTCGCAATCAAAAAAAAAAAAACTTTTTGTTTTTCATGTTTTTTTTTTTTTCCATCACATAACAAAGTCCCCTATTTGATGATTTTTTTGGTGACAGATTCTCTTTATTGAGACATCCAGGGTCTAAAAGACCCTGAATGTCTCCCCTGTTCTCCACTGAATGTAATGTGGTGCACTTCGCACTGCATTATGTTCTTTTCCGGCTTCCATGGCAAGGAATCTCTCAATGGGGACCCAGAAGTGACATCATAATGACATCATAATGTCACTTGAAGGGGAAGGGAATGGACGTGTCTGCTCTTCTCCCTCCCCTCTAGCCGATGGCCACAGATGGGCAAGCAGAGCCCAGGAGACCTCACGATTTGAGGGGGAGGGGGGGGGGGGGGGGGAAGCTAGCACTGTGTGGAAGCAATCGTGCTTCCAGAATGCTTCCGCCTGATACGTGAGCCAGCTGCTTGCAGGGCTAAAGGTAGAAAAAAACTACCTGCCCAATGCCCGAAACTGCATGTCTTTGGTGTCGGGCAATAGGAATCGAACATCCATGTAATGTATTCATTAATTAAGAGCTACATTAATTTTTTTCTTTAAAGTGATTCTTTTTTTTTTTTTTTTTTTTTTTTGTAAATACCAAGCATGTCTATGCTTACCTGCTATGCAGTGGTTTTGCACAGAGCAGCCCAGATCCTCCTCTTCTTGGTTCCCTCGCCGGCGCAAATGGCCCCTCCTTCCTGTCGGGTGCCCTCACAGCAACCAGCTTGCAATGGGGACACCCACTGCTCCATGTGCCCATTCACACACAGAGCAGCGGCTTGGCCCTGCCCCCTCTCTCTTCTCATTGGCTCATTGTGCTCAATGGCTCCCGCTTCTGTCTCAGCCAGTGAAGAGAGGGAGTCCTGGGATAGCCAAGACTTCAGTGCACATTGCTGGATCAAGAGGGGGCTTAGGTGAGTATTAGGGGAGCTGGGGGGGATGCTGCACAGAGAAGGTTTTTTACCTTGCAAAAAACCTTGAGCCTTTACAACCTTTTTAAGTATGTCTAGAATTTAGCTTTAAAGTGGAACTAAACCCATCGATTTAAAAAAACAATTACATTCCTGACATGCCAGGAATGTAACTGCACATTTGCTTGTGCTATCAAGCACACAAACCATCCAATGGCTGGTGTCATAACTGATCACACGTGCAGTATCATGGCAGTTGCAGATCAGAGGCTAAGATGGGAGATTCCTTGGCTGAAAAGGATAGGAGGGTTTAGTTCTGCTCTAAAGCTAAAGTGCAGAGAGAACACATATATTACCTTCCTTTACCCTTCTCCCCACTGATTAACAAGCAGCTGGATCTGTATGCTGGTCTTTACTCTAAGGTACAGTTGTGTTCAAAATAATAGCAGTGTGTTGAAAAAAGTGAATAAAGCTCAAAATCCTTCTAATAGCTTTTATTTCCATACACACAAATGCATTGGGAACATTACACATTCTATTCCAAATCAAAACATGAAGAAAAATAGATCAAATTTGTGTTGTTCCTCTAAAAAAATGGAAGAAAAGTGAATATTAGACTGTTCAAAAAAATAGCAGTGTTTGTATTCTTCATTACAAACTCAAACATTCACTATATAAACTGAAAAATGTTTGAAGATTTTGCTTTCCTTTGAATCACTTAATATATTTAGTTGTATAAGCACTGTTTCTGAGAACTGCTGTACATCTGTGTTGTATGGAGTCAACCAACTTCTGGCACCTGTGAACAGGTATTCCAGCCCAGGATGATTGGACTACATTCCACAGTTCTCTATTTCTTGGTTTTTCCTCAGAAACTGCATTTTTGATGTCACCCCACAAGTTTTCTATTGAATTAAGATCTGGGGATTGGGCTGGCCACTCCATAACGTCAATCTTGTTGGTCTGGAACCAAGATGTTGCACGTTTACTGGTGTGTTTGGGGTTGTTGTCTTGTTGGAACACCCATTTCAAGGGCATTTCCTCTTCAGCATAAGTTAGCATTGCCTCTTCAAGTATTCTGATGTATTCAAACTGATCCATGATCCCTGGTATGCGATAAATAGGCCCAACACCGTAGTATGAGAAACATCCCCATATCCTGATGCTTGCGCAACCATGCTTCACTGTCTTCACAGTGTACTGTGGCTTGAATTCAGTGTTTGGGGGTCGTCTGACAAACTGTCTCTGGCCACTAGACCCAAAAAGAACAATCTTACTTTCATCAGTCCACAAAATGTTGTGCCATTTCTCTTTAGGCCAGTCAACGTGCTCTTTGGCAAATTGCAACCTCTTCAGCGCATCTTTTTTTCAACAGTGGGACTTTGCGGGGGCTTCTTGCAGATAGCTTGGCTTCACATAGGCGTCTCTTCTAATTGTAACAGTACTCACAGGTAACTTTAGACCTTCTTTGATCTTCTTGCAGCTGATTGTTGGC